TTGGGCTCGTTGACATAGTCCGCGCTATTCTCCACCTGCAGCCATTGCCCGGACACGCTCTGGAAAAGGGTCGTCCTGGCCTTGAAGAAGTTCGGGTCGTACCACGGCCTGGCGTCAAGAAGGTGGCTGGCACGGGCTGTGTAGTGAAACTTGGTGCCGTCCGCCAGCACATGCATCCCTTCCTTGCCCACAAGGCCCTGCATCTCTTCAGTAAGTGTCACCCTCGGCACCCGCGGTGGCAAAGTCCGCGGCACCTCGGTGATCGCCCGAATCTCCCCCGCCACGGCCAGGGAGTTGTTCTTGAACTTCACGGGGGTGTGGTGGAGGCCGTAGGGCTCCTCAAGCGAAAGCCCCGCACCCTTGTGCACTAGGCTCCAGCCTTTGCGGAACAGCTTCCCCACCGCCAGCAAAGGCACCTTGACACGGCCCACCACGCACACCTCGCGGATGCAGTAGGCATTGCCCTCGGCGTTCCGAAGCCAAAACTCGTATTGGCGAAGGGAGTGGGTAGGAATAGCGTTTCCTTGGGCATCGCAGAGGCGAGGCGGGCACACATTACTTGGCGCTGTGGCCCCCAGTTCTCGCAAGCTTTCTGGGACCATGGAGGCGTCGGCGCCGGTGTCCAGGATGATCTGCGTCTGTCGCTGGGGTCGTGGCTCCCTTGGGCCGTGCCCCGTCCACTTCCAAGCCTTACGGCCCGCACCGCGTAGTACTCGTCCTCGTCCCGGTCCTGGTCCTCAGCCGGCAGGGTGTCCTCGGAGATGTCGTACACCACGCAGCTGGGAACGCCTGGCGGAGTCACCATTCTCACACGGCGCACGGCTCTAGGATGTTGCTGGGTCGCGGCCGTAGATGTAGAAAACGTACTCGCCGAAGACGGGGGCAAAGAGGAAGAGCTTGGTGGTGGGGTCGGCGTCTCCTCCTGGGTCACTTGCTGAACCTTGCCGCTGCCCTTGCCCTTGCCCTCCTTGGCCTTTGCTCTGCAGTCTCGGGCAAAATGCCTGGTTTTGCCGCAATACCAACACTCACCTTTCGGCTTCGCCTTGGGCTTGGCGGTGGCGTCGTTCTTGCCACCTTTCCCTTTTCCTTTTCCTTTTGGGTCGCCCTTGCCTTTCCTGTCCTTGCCCTTCTTGCCCTTGCCCTCGCGCTCCACGCGGTCCACGTCCATGGGGCCGCCGGTGTCCTGGGAGGTTGTAGAGGTCGTAGGCAAAGTCAAGGTAGAGCTCGCTTGCCAGCGCGTTGTCGATCTTTCGTAGGCCAAAAGTTGCTCTCGCAGCTTGGCGTAGGTGGTCTCCGAGTTGAGGCTCATATGCAGTTGCACCTGCAAGGCTGCAGGGGCAGCCTGCACCAAAGTCGTTATCTTGAGGTCCTCGGAGAACTTCAAAGAAGATATCCGCTCATACTCGGCGATACTCTCCTCGTGGCGGGTCACCTGCTCGGAGAGCGACTTGGCCGGGTCGAAGCGGACCGTGGAAAGCTGCGCCACCAGCGCCAATTGGCGCTGTCTGCT